AATACATCGTTATAAAATGTAAGTTCCTAGTTATTATTGTTTTTATATGAATTTTATAAATATTATTCTACTTTCTGGAGTATTAATTATTTACATATCAGTTGGGTTTATCAGTTTTTGTCTGTAAAGATTATAGCGTGTTCAAGCCGTACTAGCCGTCCCTTTTACCGGATATACATGCCACCTTTTTATCGGTTGTACAACACCAAATTTTTATGTTGCGTTATGTGCCTAAATAAGTTCTGTATTAATCTGATAATTATTACTACTTTAGTTGTACAAAGTTGTAGTTTGATGTGATTAAGAAGGCCATCTTTTAACCTTTTTTTGTTAACTTTCAGTATCATTATTTTTCGTATATTTACAAAACTGAGATTTGATTAGTATATTTTTTGTTCACAGACATGAAAGAATAAATGACAGGAAGAACTTTGTCAAGTCATAAGAAGCTAGTCAGTGCATAACGTAGGTCATTTTTACTTTGTTTAATCTTTTTGTAATGTTTATATTGATTTATATACATCTGTGAGTGGAATTCTTATATATTTTGTTGGATATAAAGTTTACATAAGAAATGATCACAATTACGAATTCATCATTCTGTATTTGACTTACTTTGAATGTTAAGCTTATTATTAAGGTTAATTAACAATAAATTTGTGCCATAAATGAGAATTTGAAGAAACCGAATGTAAAAAAATAGATGTAGACCTTTAACATATTATGTAACAACATAAGTTTATTAATTTCCCTTTTGTTTCAGTTCTTACGAAATAGATTCCATGAAGCAAATTGGGTCTTGTTTTTGTCATCTATCTGTCGGCTAAGGGCAGAATATTTTTTGTTTACATGACTTAAATGATTAGATAGAATGCCTGTTTCAACATATTGATATGTATCTCCCCAAATGCGATGACCTAATTTAATCTCAAATAACGCAGTTGCATACAAACGCTTAACAATAAAAGCCGTACGAAGAACAATTAACATATACTTCTTTAATGATTAAAGTCTGGCCTAACGATCAGAAGCATGAATGGGAGAAAAATTTCATATTTCCTAGCTGCAAATACTTTCCATTCTGATATGTCCAATGTAACTGAACCAGTAAAGTATCATACTCAGAGAACTAGAATAATCAGATATTGATCACGCTTTATTCCTACAGTAGTCTGAATCAGACTAGGAAAACAAGATTGCATTTGAGAAAATGCTATGCCACCACATTAATACAACACTAAATAGTAGTGTAGGAACATTTTATTTTTGTTTCTATACAATCGAAGATTGTCATTATGCACAAATCATTTTTTTTACTATATGTACATAATGAAAATCTATGACCCCCGGGGCTAAACCAATTTTGACCCCAGGGCTATAATTTGAACAATCTTGGTAGAGGTTCCCTTCGCAAAGTCTCATGCCATATATTTAACCTCTAGCTATCAAGTTTTTACTTTATACATGTAAGGAAAGCTTTCGCCTCTGTGGCAGGGCAATTTTAACACTAGGGACATAATTAAAACAACTTTAGTAGAGGACCCTCAGCTGATATTATATACCAAATATCAAAACTCTAAGCCTGGTACCTTCAGACAAGAAGGTTTTTTAATTTTTTACTATATGTACAAAGTGAAAATCAAAGACCCCTGGGGGTGGGGCCAATTTTGACCCCAGGGCTTTTATTTGTACAATCTTGCTAGAAGTTCACTACACAATGTTTCATGCAAAATACAATGTATCTTAACTCTAGCCTTTGTAAATTTAGAGAAGACGATTTTTTTAGTTTTTAACTATATACATATAAGGAAAACCTATGGCCCCCGGGGCGGGGCTAATTCTAACCCTAGAGACAAAATTTGAACAACTTTGGTAGAGTTCCTATAAATGATATCATTTAACAAATATTAAAGCTCTAAGCCTTGTACCTTCAGACAATAAGATTTTTTGATTTTTACTACATGTATATATTGAAAATCAATGACCCCCGGGCCGGGGGCAATTTTGACCACAGGGCTATATTTTGAACAATCTTGATAGAGGTTCACTACACAATGTTTCATGCAAAATATCTAAACTCTAGCAATTGTCAATTGCTTGAAGAATTTTTTTCACTATAAGTTTTTACTATATACATATAAGGAATACCAATGACCCCCGGGGCGGGGTCGATTTTGACCCCAGGGCTATAATTAGAACAATTTGGGAAGAGGTCTACCAGACAATGCCTTATGCAAAATATCTAAGCTCTAGGCCTTTTGGGTCTTTACAAGAAGGTATTTTAAGTTTTACTATATGTACATATAGTAAAAATATATGACCCCCGGGGCGGGCCGATTTTGACCCCAGGGCTATAATTTGGACAATCGTGGTAAGGGTCTACCAGGCAATGCCTTATGCAAAATATGTAAGCTCTAAGCCCTTTGGGTCTTTACAAGAAGGTATTTTAAGTTTTTACTATATGTACATATAGTGAAAATCAATGACCCCCGGGGCGGGGCCGATTTTGACCCCTGGGTTATGATGTGATCAATCTTGGTAGAGGTCTACAAGACAATGCCTTATGCAAAATATCTAAGCTCTAGCACTTTTGGGTCTTTACAAGAAGATTTTTTAAATTTATTTTTATAATTCTTTTTGGTTGCCATGGCAACCAGATTTCTGCATGGAATGTAATTCTTTGAACAACTTTGGAAGCCCTTCACCCAAGGATCAATCCTGCCAAGTTTGGTTGAAATTGGACAAGTTTCCAGTTAAACAAAATAATGGGAGTATATATAAAATCAATTTGTTTTTAGCTTTTCAGTTGCATACCACAAAAAATAATGTTTCAATTGAAATCATTGAATTTTAAACGAATAGTATAAGTATTTCTTCTTTAAATTACATTTAAGGTGATTATTTGCGTTAAAACGAGCTCTTGTGTTTATAAGTTGAATTGAAATCAGATTAAAATCAATAACAAATATATGTCCTAGTCTTACATGTTTGAGAAAATTCATCGGTTAGTTGGCGCCGACATTTTGTAAATCTTGGAATAGTTTTATATTTGAGCCATAATTAGATTTTAGGATGCTTGTGACAGAGTTTGAACCCTACAGTGACCTTGACATTAGTCGTAGAAACCCCGAGTCTTGTTTGCACACATCATACCTCTATGATAAATTCATATGCGAAAGAAATATTTAAATCCTTTCATGCATACCCAAGTTTCAGAGCAAACATAATCACAAACTTCTATATTTATATAGCATAAAAATCTAAAGTGACAAAATTTAAACCACCAGAGTGACCTTAACCTTAGTCAAAGAAACCCAGGTATTGTTCGCGACTCACCATACATCTATGCATATTTCATATAAGAAAAAAAATAAAATCCTTTCATGCATGTTGACCTTTCTGAGCGGACACGACCACCACAATCTATATTTATATAACATAAATAATGACAAAGAAAAATCGCCCAGAGTAACCTTGACCTTAGTCGTAGAAAGACGATCCTTGTTTGCGTGCATACATATATGGCTATTAGATATATGAAAGAAAAAATAAAATCCTTTCATGCATGTTGAAGTTTCAGATCGGACAAAACCACCACCTTCTATAATCATATAACAAAATAATGACAAAGTTTGAACCCCCACAGGGACCTTTACCTGAGTCGTATAAACCTGAGTCTTGTTTGCGACACACCATATATCTATGGTTATTTAATATGTAAAAGAAAATTACGATCCTTCCATGCATACTGAAGTTTAAGAGCAGTCACGACCACCACCATCTATATTTATATTTCATAAAAAAGACAAAGTTTGAACCCAACAGTGACCTTGATCTTAGTCGTAGAAACCCCAAACTTGTTTGCGACACACCATACATCTATGGTTAGTTCATATGTGAAAAAGAAATTACAATCCTTCCATGCATACTGAATTTTCAGAGCAAACACGACTAGCACCTTCTATATCTACATAACATTAAAATGACAAAGTTTGACCCCTCACAGTGATTTTGACCTTAGTCGTAGGAACCCGAGTCTTGTTCGCTACACATCATGCATCAATGAGTATTTCATATATGAAAGGGAAATTTAATTCCTTTCATGCATACTGAAGTTTCAGACCAGGCACGACCACCACCGTCTATATGTATAAAGACGGACGGACTGACAGATTGTGTGACCGACTGACAGACAGACGGACGGTTCGATTTTAATATGCCACCCTTCGGAGGCATAAAAAATATCTTGTTTATATATGAAATCTGTTTGCTTGTAATTAAATGATAAGGAATTTCCGCATCTTAGAAAGCACCTTATTTCATATAAAAATTGTATACCTCTGATAAAGAGACGTTTGTGAAAATCAATTTAGCAAATTGGTGTGGTTTGAAGTTTACAATCCATTGCAGATCAGTGTCCAAAATTGTCCTGAAGGGGTAACTTAAGGATGTAATAATGGAGTCTGTATCTACGTATTGTACGTGACCAAAATACAATCCATCTTTGTGTTTAGCCCTCGGGAACGACATCATATGTACTGTTTAAAATATTAAAAAAAATACATTACCTGAATTAAATCTTATATGGGCCTCATGAGGATATGTCTTACTGATAGGATTTCTCATGAATTCCATTTAATAATAATGAAAAACTTAAGACAACTCTAGCAACAGCGTACAGGCCCGATGTATTACATTTAATGGAGGATATTAGTTTTAGTATTTATTCTTTATAAATTATTCTGGAAAGAAGCCGAATCAAGCAATCAAAAGTAAAGTAAAATTTGACAGCGACTTGAGTAAGTTTTCGAATTATTTAACCCATAATTTCAAAAAGTATATACACAATTCGGTTCTGAAAATATTGGTCTGATTATTATAACACTGTTACTACATGCTGATTTATGTATGTCACATCAGTCTGCAGTTAAGCAGAATCCTTGTTCCTCTTAATTATATAGCTCACCAGCAAAATACTATATTCAGAAATGTTAACATACCAATGTTTTGTAGTTTGGCAAAACAATGCCATTCATCGGGTATATTCTTACTTTTCCATAATCCAATCGGACTATTTTTGTAGTGCTTACAAAGTCCCCTAGGTTCGATGTACATTGGTTCGTTATAATAGTCATAATAATCTGTTTCATACGATTCAAGGTGTTCGAGATATACATATATAGTTGACCATATATTATAACTGGCAACACTGCAATTGTTTTGAATACTGCAAAGTTCATGACATCTCGTCAGACTTGTTTCCAAGACAGTTGAGTCTCCAGATAGCAATTCATGTTCAAGAGGCATCATTTCAGATGATTTGTTGCTGTTAATGTCAGTTATACCTGTTAAACGAGAGATATAAAATATGAGTAAATTAAGAAAAGTGATCTTTTTATATATCGTCACGATTAAACTCGGAAATTTCAAAGGTATATAAATATGTTTCATATTGGTACACGTACATTATTTCTCTTTTCGACATTTCATTACAATCCATCAATGGTTACAATGAAACAAACAAATACGCAACTGCCTTTATTGTCAACTTACGTGTCAGTTTACAGCCGAACACTTTGAAATTAAGACATCTGGATTTGCCTGTTGGCTTTCCCAGTGAATGTTTGAATTTTGCGTATCTCCCATTGATTGGTCTCGGAAGAATGAACACTTGATCTATATTCCACCAGTTTTCTGGTGGAAATATTTTAAATTCCTGAAATAATGAATCACAAGTACACGGGATTACACATTTTCTTGTTTCATTCTTAGAGTTCGATTGATATATCAATATCCTTATGGACAATTGGTTAAGTTTTAATAATGCAAAATGGCTGATTCGTTTAAAAACAATATATAGATACTGAGATAAACCATCAAAACTGCAATAAGAATTTCTTAAACTATAAAAGTATCGCTAAATCTAAAGTTAAAGGGTGTGCGTGTCTGTTTTAATATTTTACAACTGCAATAACGTATACTTTGGTATACTTGTATTCATTAACACATGTATACAGTATGATAGTGAAGTGTTTTTGACATTTATAACTTTGAGAGGGTAGATTAACCAACTTTAACACAAACGAATTAAGTCAACGTGGACACACCGCGTTTACCGTTCTTAAAATACATTTGTAAATGCAGTAACATGAGAATTATTTGTAAAATTGTACGTTTTAACGGCGTTGATCACTAACCCTTGATACACTTCTGGAACAGTTTATCGCGGGAAGGAAATAGTTTAAGTAATTATCATTAAACCGCGGACATAGCCAAGCAAACGAAAGAACAATGGACACAATCGCAATTTAAGTTACCTAACTGTTACTAACTTACGATGCAAACGTGAAACACTTGACGTAACATAACATTCTACATAATTCTGGCGGTACGTTGTGCTGTTGCAATTTTTATAGGTGTATCTAGTATAGTAGTTAACAAGACATTACATATATTGCAACGTTAACATTTCTGACAAGAAAAACTATCTGTTTCTAGGTTCCTTTATTAAACTATTTCACAGTTTACTAGTAGAAATACTTGTGATTTTTCAGGTGAAATACACGTTTAGGCGTCATACAGCATTTGGAACAAAATGTAAATTTTTGAAAAGCTTTTAATAAAAATATTAATAAATAAACACTATCATTATTGTAATCTGAAAGACAACAACATAAAGAATTAGTTAAAACTATATGTATTAAAGCTGCATGCCTCTAAAATATGTCAAGAGAATCAACCTTGAGAAAAATGTATTAAGATTTTAAGAAAAGCAAACTATATACAATTCAAGTTACATACATTTAAGCAATATTTATCACCATAATTTTACTGCGTGGCTGACGCAGTAAATGCTATTTTGCATATTTTGACCTTATTTTGGTTTTTGTCGTAGATTTGAAATGCCGTTTGCAGTGTGTAAATTTCTTCCTTAGTACAATTAACAATGGTTTTCTTTTAAAAACATTTTGTTTCTTTTCATGAGAGTAAGCATGATAAGGGAGGCATGTTTCTTTAAAATGAATGTATATATTTTTTGTTATATGTTTAAAGTTACATTCAAAAAAATTCATAAAAAAACTCAATACCGACGTTTCATTAATAAATTGGGTTTTATATCGTCCCCAGGTCATATTTTGGTGTTCAGACAACCAAAATGAGTTTTATGAGCATAACAATGGGTAACCTCATTGTGGTGAAATGGGAAGTACAATTTATGTTTGCATAAGAAACTCCGCCTTCGGATCATCAATACATCAATATTGAATCAACAAGCATGACTATAAGTAGCAGTCCTAATTAAACGGAATATTTCCGCATTGTAAAGGGTGTTTTCATACAAAATTTAATCTTTTTACGAGATGATTACTTTTACTGAACCCGATGTTTAGTGCACCGTTAAGCTAAAACGGTTAAAGTGTGTTTGAACAAGAAAATGTCATATTTGCTGTGTTCCGGATAGCAACTTTAAAACTGTGACGTAGCGCATACACGAGCTGATTATAGTCATCATTTGCATGTTAAAATTCGTATACGAACTTTAGTGTTACCGTAGTGGGGGCTTCCCGTTTAAAATCCTAATATATGAACAATATTTGATGAGATTTACAACCATTCTATTAAACAGGTTAATGAAACGGTAGAATGTTGGATTTTTAGGCCGACGGCAAAATATTTTTACATATTTATTTAACGTAGCTTTAAACAAACGAGTATACCATATCCTTGTACAACTGTAATGTATCCTTATTGTTGCCGAAATATAAACTGAAAGTGGTCCACATGTCACAGTCTTTGGAAACGTAAACACCAACTCCTTCTATTGTTGTTGCAGCAACTAAATCAATCTAAATTGATATTAGATATTATGTATACCAAACTTGTTGAAATGTATCTGAATTGTTTTTAATTTACAAATTAGTTATCTGAATAATTCATATTCTTAAGAGCATTTTTTTAATCGCAGAAGAAAGTTGCTAGTGCATCAGAAAAATACTAATTGCCTGTATAAACCAGTTACCCATCGCTTACACATTCTAGACAACTGAGCCAGAAGAAGCGATGCCCGGGACTGTACTAACAGTAATGAAGTGTGTATACATTCAACCGTAACAATATTTTATTATTGTCTTACGTTTTAAAAACATACTTCGATGAACTACTTTAAATTGTTTATATAGTTTGGTTAAATAATTGTGACGTTTTTTGAAATCTCATTCACATCACGCTTCAGTCAGCTCATTTGACTTACAACCATCACATTTTTTAAGTTGGAACAGATTTTCTTTTCTATATAGAGATATTTGCGATATTTGCATCGATTATTTTTCAAACTTCTTTTATTTCAAAACCGGAAAGAAAAGTATAATTATAGGTGTAAGTTTTGAATTATGTGACATAAGATAACCATTTATACATAAATTTCCCTTACATATAAGCTAGCATAACTAAATTTTTTTTATCCTTTTACTTTACAGAAAGACTAGTTTTACAAATACAATAAGTTGAAAATAGTAAAGGAATAACTATTTAATAGAAATAACAAGTTGCCAAAAAGAAATGGATTACTGTTATTCATATAGCATATCTGGCATATAGATTACATTTGTACATATTGATGAAACTTTAATTTTCATGTATCATTATCTTTAATCAGAAATTAATCATATATGTATGGAGATAAGACTAAAGATATTTTTTCAGTCATAAAGCAGCAGGGATTATAATATCTCGATGCTTCCATTTTGAAAAGGTTAAAACATTATATAAATACATGCGTAAAAATAATTTCTTTCCATTTAAAGTATTCTTCAACGCATTTTCGTTTTTGCTTATATGATAGAATATTTCTTGACATGAATTATACAAACCAAAATCCAAGGTCTCGGATCTGTAGCATCATGAACCCAACCTGTCACAATAGTGTTTGTATTTGTTTGTATTTGATTTGTTGTTCCAGAGGAAACAGTGATCTGACTTTTTGGTACCTGTTTGTCGTCTATTTCAATACTCTCAAAGCATGCCTCGCCATTTTCTACAGACAAAACATTAGAAATTGTCTTACAAGTCTTACACTAACAAATACATATTCAAACAGAAAAAACATACCGTAAAAAGGTTTCCAACCGGTAAAATTAAAAAAAAACTGTATAATTAATGAAAATACTCAGTACTGGTTGGTTCAAGGAACGGATTCCAGATTGTTTCAATACGGTTATAGCCCTGGACCAATCGAACTAAACTAGACTGATATTCATAAAACTTAACTAAATTAAATAATCCATTCCCATATTAGAATATTTAAATGTCAACTAATGAAATTATTAGAAAATAGTTTCAACAATTATCTTAAGCAATTTTATGGATTTCTTTTGCTATGTTTAAGTTTAAATGTTAATATGCTTATTTATATCGAAAATGTTGAAGTTATAATTGGTGAATCATAAGCAAAAAATATTCTTCCGAATTTATTCTATTTAGCTTTATGAATTAAGTTTACTTACGTGCTTCTATACTCGATATAAACACCTGAAATTGCATGTCGCCTGTTATGGTTTCATTCAATACAAATGTAAAAAAACGACCTCGTGTTCTCCTGCAATTAAATAGGTCATTTCAAAATATATTTCGTTTGCAGTATTCTACGAAAATAAGTTTGAACAAAATAGTTCAGAAGCGTATAACACAGCAAAGATATTTAAACAGATCTTACTATCTCTCATTCAAAGATCAGCGAATATTTCATCTGGTCAAAGTGGAACAAAAAAGTTAAGAAGCATATTTCTAAAGATTTTAAAGTGATCTTACGATCTCTTATTCATAGAGCAATGTCAAGGTAAAACAAAAAATGTTAAAAAGCGCATTTTAAAAAATTGTAAGAGACCTAACGAAATCTTATTCAAAGATTTGCGAACATGACACATTTGTTGAACCTGACATGCGATCATATCTAGGATACAATTGCTTTATATACCTTTAGAGATTGTTCTGTGGTTTTGATAAATAGTGCAGTGGTTTTAAAAGATGGTGATGCTGTTTCAGTTGATGGTGCGGTCGTTTTGATAGAATATATATATTTATTATCTCTGATAACACGACCACAAATTAGTATGGAAGATCTGCCATTTTCTTACATCAAGTTTATGAACAGTTTGATTAAGTTAACAAGGAAAAGTATCACACAATGGTACTTTTATTATAATATAAATAAGGCTTGCGACAAATTTACCTTAGATATACTTTTCCTGGAAGAGTGGTAGTTTCTGTGTTACAAGCTGAAGGGTCCCCTAAAGTCCCAGGAACATCGCTAACAAAACACTTGAAATAGGTATTTCCCTGAAAGAAAACATTTCAGCACAATAAAAGTCATGCAATCAACAGACTAATAAATGTTTAATTCATTAAGGTACTATGAATTTGAAAACGCTGATCTTATTTATTTTACAAATTGTTTATTATTATTATTATTATTATTATTATTATTATTATTATTATTATTATTATTATTATAAAAAAAACAAGTTTTACGGTTCCACATAAAAACCACATAAATAGGAAAAAAATAAAACACAGTTTGCACACAATATATATGAAGAAAAGTTCTTAAGGTAGAACACCTCTAATGCACTATCTCGACTTTGAAGAGTATTTAAATAGGCTAAAATCACTGTCCAGTGGCTAGAATCACTGTCCAGTGCATTGAAACTGAGGCCAGAAGGGGCAACCTTTTTCCTTTTTGTCTTTTAAACATGTTTTATGTAAATGTCAGATCCCTTATGGAAAGAAAAAAAGTGTTTTGATTTTAATTATATAATTATTGTAGGTATTTATTTGCTGAAAATGCCAAAATTTAAATGGCAAACAGATGATACCAGATAGATTCAAAGTTTAATAAAATAAAAACTACACAGTAAAAGTATTTTATATTTTGCAAAGACAAACCAATATACATTTAAAAAAAACTAGACAAACTTTGAAAATTTGTCCCTTCATTTTGGTAAACTTAAGGGATATTTTAAATAAGGCTTTTTACATAGGCAATGGTCAAACAAGTGTTTTTACAGTGGGTGGGGTAGGGTTACATTTTTATAAATATTTAAAACATTGTGTTTAGAAGCAATCATTTTGATAGTTAAATTTGTAACCTGAATGTCTTTAATTGTTTCTTAACAATTAGCAATAGGAAAACATGTTCCATAAAGATGATATTGAAGACTTTTAGAGTTTTTCTCATTTATTTTCTGAAATAGTCCTTCTAATGGTGCAGTTTTAGTTCAGAAAAATGTCCATAACTCATAAACCACACGGTAAATTTTGTTTTATTTTTGCATACATGTGACATTAAAGGCCTATAACTGTCTTATGTTGTCAATTTTTCAGTTTCTTATAGTGTCCAATAGGGTGTGCTACGGTTAAATCTATTTAATTGATTTACCATTCATGCTTAACTTCAACATAGGATAAGATTCATAATTGTAAAAATATCATACAAAATATAAATGTGTAAATTCCTGAGCACGTGCATTTTATACCTCGAACGGCGAAACCTTTTACTCTATTCTGATGTTGTGTGTTAGCTAAATATCTTGTGACGTTATCGCGTCTGCTGACGTCATTTAATTTGACCAAATTCACGACGTTAACAAAAAAGATATGATTTGCGCAGGCGAACAGTTACCAAGTTTAATATGCAAATTCTATTATTGACGAAATCGCCATACAAAGAAGTTATTATGTTTCGCTAGGACTTTTTACAAGTGGCAGGGCATAAACAAGACAGTAAGAAAAGTATCAGCCAGAGGAAACAAATATTGGGGGAATCCCGGTTTGCTTAGAGAAAAAACTTACGATCTGTGGAAAAGAAGTGAGTAAACGCTGTTCGCAGGCTAACATTTTGTGATATTTTTTCGACATCAACCACCGGGTTTTTTTCCGTTCATAATATTCATATAGACAAACTCAACATACCACGCGCTGTACATGTCTCGTATGTTGTTTTTATTTATAAAAAAACATAAATTAACAACACGTGAAGATAACTGAATTGTGTTCCTTCTTTCAACTTAGTCTCCAAAGTACGATTAACACAGGGAATTTATTTGACGACAGCATACTCGACCTCGTTATTACAGCAGATTAGCCATTAGTTCCCTTTTTTAGCCGGAAAGGAAACGACAAACAAGTGTATGACAACTGAATAAGTAAGAACACCAGTCTATTAATATAGGCATTTTTAATATGCAAACGTGTTTAAAAATATTTTTAGCATCGGGGAACTCGACCTTAGTGTTGTACTGTTCGATAACTTTATAAAGTAAGAGGACTGCCCTAAAGTATCTACTTTCTAAATATGAATGACATTAGTAATTAAACGAATAATGAATATGTGATAAAATGTGTTTTGAAGCAACATTGCCCTTGATGTTGACCAATTTGACGCTTTAGTTTAAGGCTTGAAAGACATCGCCGGTCAATTAATAACGGCTAACCAAAAGTGTAACAAGCATTATTAAGTATTATGATTTAAAAGAGAAATTAATAAAATATCATAGGGCAATAAAGATCCTTGACAACAGTCACCCTATCCCTGGATTCTATCACTGTGTGATGTGTTTATTACATTCTTACAATACTTTTCTAGTTTCTCAAATGGCAAGAATATTTATTATCATAAAAGGGAGCTTAATTAAAAAATATTGTTTTTTTTTAATACTGCAATGATCTGAACTTAGTCTCTATAACCAGTGCAGTTTCAGTTAGATATTATTTGATGACAGATACATATAACAACACGTTTTTCAAGTAATGTCTCCGCCTTTTTTAAGCTTCTTTGGTTTATATGATAAATAACAAAGAAATGACCCGAAAACTCACCTTACCAAAGGAGTTAAGCAAGATAGTATTTTTTTTTAACCACTGCCTTTTCTTTCAGTGTTTCTATCACTTTATAAAGTTTAAAATGATTAATGTCTACTCTTTGTACATTGTCCATAAGTATTTCAAATATTGACAGAAATATACAAATGTATCATATTTGGATATTTTTAATTATATTATTGCTTAAATGAAAAATATAGATAAAAAAACTAAAATATATGATATTTACAGTCTTGGCTGAATAATTATATCTGTTTTTAGAACATTTTTATTACTGCTTTATAGCGTATATATAATGTCAGCTCATGCATCTCAAACTTCCAAAATACCACAGTTATATTATTTCGCGGGTTTCTTGCTATGGTTGTGATAAAAAAACTATCAAAAGTAATTATTCATTGAATACTTGTAACATACATTACATTGGTGAACCAAATCACTTTAAATTATATTTCTTCAATGTATTTTAATTATTCGCCGGACAAAGAGTGTGACTGGCAGAATAACGGACGGGTGAAAGGACGCCACGGAAGGAATGAATGAGAAGGACAGACTTACAATGCGGCCACTATATACCTCCCCTTTTTGAGAATAAAAAGAAACGACTGGAACTCTTCTAAAACAAACAAAATAATCCTTGACGCCATTTACATTCCAAGCACACAAATACCCGACACCCCAAGATGGGGGTTTATTTTTAATTTTTCCCTACTACTTATTTGTGGGCCCTTTTTTCCCCATTTACCCTACTTTTTAACAGGATAAAAAAAGGGTTATTTTGGGCCCAAAAGGTTTTGGGCAAACAAAAAACTATGCCCCCCCACCATTTAATTCAACAGAGAACAAACCGGGGGAAAAATTCAAAGAAAAAATTTTTAATAAATATTTTGGGTAAAAATCATTTGAAGCGTTTTGATTTTTAGAAATTTGCTTTTGACATCAGTTTAAACCGCTTGACATCGTTGTTTTCGGGAAATTTTTGAATTTTTTTTATGGCCCCTTTGTGCACTTTTTTAATGAAGTTTTTAAAATAACTGTTTAAATGGTAGCATTTATAAACGGTATGTATTACTACAGGTTGAAAACATAGCTATTTTCTATGAGTTATTAAACTTGTCATAGGAGAATTCGCACTAACGGACTTTTGCCAAATATATTTTGTATCAATTTATCTTCAATAAAAGGAGTAAAACGAATTTTTAAGTTGGTTCTATATTAAATATATATAAACATTCTCAACCAAATGTGAAGACTTATTGATGTCAATCATAACTTACCTCAAGTGAAACGCTTACAGTCAATGAAATACCATTCAAAGTCATTTTCTGAAAGTAAATCAAACAACACTTTGCATACAGTTTTCTATCTGAGATTTAGTTAAATATGCCTATAAAATACAAACTCTAGAAGAAGTACATGATAATTTTACTGCCTTTGATTATTTAATAATTTCGTAAACTATCTTAGAACAAAGATTGGGAAAGTTCAGTAATACGTATATATCAGGGCCGTTACACGTGAAATAAAATCCTGCAAATGTATATCATGTGTGTATTCAAGACATGAAGTTAAGTCTTACCTTGATGCAGTTTGTAGAGGGTTCGTTGATTAAGAATCAACTCTGAAAATAAACGTTAGGCAAATAAAATTTAAAATTAAATTAAGAATGATTTCAATTCTGGATCTTATTACTGTCTTTATGTTTGTTCATAATAACCATCTATAGTATTCTCCCAGTAATGCATTTGACATCATTTGTATTTTCTTTGGAAATTGAATGTCTGATTTTAAGGTATTTTGTTAGAAAAATCGTTCTATCAAAATTACTGACATACAAATTTGATGATTAAAAAATATTGCAAAAAGGTAAACTGCAAAGGTAAAATTTTAATACTCCTAAAATATTTTTTTCAAACTAGAAACTAACTAATAATTTAAACATTAATAATATTTTTATATATAGTGACAATATTTAATTCAGTTTTACTGAAAAAATACTTTAAAGAAATTATAATAAAAAGACATTACCTGTTGCCTTCATAGTCAATACTTTGGATTTGCTAACATTAAAATAAAAGAAAATACAAAATTTTGAACTTAAGTACGTAAATCTTGAATATGTTTTCCTTTTTAAATAATTGTAAATGGTTTAAACTAATGGTTAAAAATTTGTCTCCGCCCCTGAAAGAGGGTTTTGGGTTTATATCCCTTAATATAATTAATATTTTAAAAAATCTTAGACTATTCTTTTTCGAGATAAAAAAAGCCAGCCTTTTAGAAGTAACGGGGTACTGACGAGGGAGGAAAAAGCATTTATGTAAAAAAAAACGATCCAGTCTGTTGAAAAAATTGATTTTTAAATAATTTCTTTTTATGTTTTAGAGAACCCGAAGATTTAACAAGAAAAAATCAAATTTTAAAAACGGGAGTGAAATTTAAAATTCCCCCTTCCCAAAAAAAAGCGTCCCTACCCTTTTTTTTGTCCTTTTGAACGGAAAAAATAA